TCTGGGAATGGATTGGTTGTTTTGTTATTATGGAAATGTTGATTGTAGATTCAAAAAGGTAAACCTGAAGAGTCCAAAAGGGATAGAAGTAAATGTGATTAGTGAAAGAATTAATCCTTTAACAAATGTAATATCGGTAATGGCAGCAAAGAAGTTGATGCTACAAGGATGTCAAGGTTTTCTTGCAAATGTAGTAGATACAAGAGTTAAAGAGAAAGGGTTAGATGAGGTTCTGATAGTCGAAGAATTTCCTGATGTGTTCCTTGTTGAGTTACAAGGATTACCTCCAGATAGAGAGATAGAGTTTCAAATTGAAGTTATGCCGGGAACAGCTCCTATTGCAATGACATCTTATCGTATGGCTCCGAAAGAATTGTAAGAATTAAAGAAGCAATTGCAAGAGTTGCTAGAAAAGAGATTTATTAGACCAAGTGTCTCACCATGGGGAGCTCCGATTTTGTTTGTAAAAAAGAAATATGGTTCAATGCGTCTTTGCATTGATTATAGGCAACTCAATAAAGTAACCATCAAGAATAAGTATCCCCTTTCCCGAATTGACGATTTATTTGATCAGTTAAAGGGAGCTTCAGTGTTCTCGAAAATTGATTTACGTTCTGGTTATCATCAATTAAAGATTCAAGATAAGGATATTCCAAAGACGACATTTAGAACGAGATATGATCACTATGAGTTTATCGTGATGCCATTTGGAGTTGCGAATGCACCAGTTGCTTTCATGGACCTCATGAACAGGATTTTTTAGCCCTATTTGGATCAGTTTGTTGTTGTCTTTATTGATGACATATTGGTGTACTCGAAATCCCAAGAAGAGCATAACACACATCTGAGGATCATTTTGCAAATTCTAAGAGAAAAGAAGCTTTATGCTAAACTCTCCAAATGTGAATTCTGGTTGAAGGAAGTGACTTTCCTTGAATTCTGGTGTACCCGACTAGCTTATTGTCTTTAGGAAGATTGCAAATAGTCCAGGTTTTGTTGTTTTCAAGAGCTGAGAGTTCTTCTTCTATTGTTTTCTTCAATTCGAGAATTTTTAGAGCTTTTCCTATGGTATCTGAAATGCAGATGTTTTCAACCTTGGCTGTAAATGACTTAAATCCAGACATTAGTTTACCATAAGCAATAATTTTTTTGATAGGATCAGTTGTACACCTTCTCACTCTATTTCTTTGAGCAATGGGTAGTTCACTAGTATCAACCAAAACATCTAACTTACTTTGATCACCTTCTTCACCTTCCAAGGAATCTGAGCCTGGTTGTGGTTCCTGACAATGTGTCGACAGTGTGAGAATAGGTGGGGTAAATTTTGGTCGCCTTTTGTTAGATGTATATCATTATGGGAAATATATGGATACATAAATGGATTAGGTGTTTTGGGTGAATCAGCTTGGTGTGGTGTTTGGGCACTAGGTGGTATTTGAATGATTCAGGCGATAGTTGAAGTTATATAGGTTCAATGGGAGATAGGTTGATGGGTAACTATGTATGAATAGGAAAGTGTTGAAATTCACACTCACTTTCCCACTGGATTTCAGTTTTAGAGAAGAAAGGTTTATGTTCAAGAAAGATAACATTCATGGAAGTGAACATTTTCTAAAGATAATGACCTAACAAAGACACAACGAACTGCCTGTGGATCAAGTTTGGACTTAGTGGGGAAATGATCATGGCAGAAAAATGTACAATCAAAGACACGAAGAGGAATAACAATAGTGAACAATTTAAAATGAGGAAAATTTGAGAAAAAACATCTCATGGACATTGAAATTTAATGACTTTACTGGGTATGCGATTAATGAGATATGTTGCGGTTAAGAAAGCCTCACCCTAAAAGTAGTTAGGAACATGAGTAGGAAAAAGAAAAGTTTGGGTTACCTCAAGAAGATGACGATTTTTATGTTTGGCTACCCTCATTTTGTTATGGTGTATCCACACAAGAAGTAAGATGGACAATGCTTTTTTCCTGAAAGAAAGACCTTAACATGTTAGAAAAATATTCACTACCATTATCAGATTTGAGAATACCAATATAACTTTGAAATTGGGTCTCGATCATTTTTATGGAAATGTTTAAAAATTTCCCCAGCCTCGAATTTATCTTTCATGAGAAAGTCTATGTGGTACGAGAGTGATCGTTGATGAAAAAGATGAGCCAATGTACCTCATGTAAGCCTTTGACACAAGAATGACCCCAAATATCACTATGTATCATAAAAAACAGTTTGGAAGAATGATAAGGCGAAGGAGAATACGTACTGTGAATGTGTTTAGCAAGATGACATATATAACAAGAAAAAGTTGAAGGATTTTTGTTAATGAACAACTTGGGAAACAATTTAGCAATATAACTAAAACTCGAATGACCTAACCTGAAATGCCATAAAACAATTTCAGTAGACGTATCACTAGAGAATGAGATATGGAAACATATGAGGATACAATAGTAGAGGTTGTTGTTTTGTGAACCAAAGAATGTGCTTCAAGGATGCATAAGCCATTACGATGCTTATCATTGCCAATCACCATCCCGAGCTCAAATCCTGAAATTCACAAATATCATAGTTAAATCAGGAAGCACAACCCAAATTCGAAGATAATTTACTGGCCAAAAGAAGATTGCAAGCTAAATTTGGGACATATATACATTAGATAAAGTGATATGGTTGTTAATCTGAATTGAGTCACTTCCCATAATAGAAGAAAGTGAACCATCGATCGTTCGAACACTACAGGAAGAATCTGTCTTTGTAAAATTCTAAAAGAGGGTGAGATCACTCGTCATGTGGTCATTTGCGCTTGAATCAACAATCCAAGAAACATAACCTTTTGAGAATAGAGCAAAGTTAGATATACTTTCACTCACAGTACATGCATGTTTTCAGTGACCCGTGATATATAGACGAACTGATTGAGATCAATGAAGATAATTATCGCCATTCAAACGATGACATGTGATGGAAGAGGAGCCTGCATCTGTTGTGAGTGGGTGGACGATGGAGGTGCCTACCTCTGGAGGAACTTCAGATTATTACGGATGAACCATTATCGAAAAAAGAACCTATTTATTTCTTGTTTTTTCCTATTTTTCATTTTTTTAATAATGAATATTCATGTATCGGGGGGAAAACTTACAATGGTGTTGCGAAAAAAAAACAAAAAAAGGATTCAGTAAACGCTGTGATTAGGGCAGCAATATGGCAACGAATGGAGCATCGAATGGAGAAACGCTGTGATTTCTCTGGCGCAACGAGGTGAATGGCGTGACGATGAGAGTGACGATGCGAGTGAATCTGTGTGGTGAGGAGATTTTGCATGATGGAGAGGGCGACGGTTGTGACTGGGGAAGTGTTGTAATGGGTCCGACATTGTGAGTTGGTTGAAGTGGTGGGTTGGGCGACGGTGTGGGAAGTGGCGTGGTGAGGAGGGGATGTTCTGATATGGTTTTATGGGATTTTGTTGGACTTGGAGGGCGGCATATCAATGGAAGCACACGACCGGTCGAATTTTTAACTAACGGAAGCGGGAGCAACGGTCGGATCAACGCCGACAACTTATACCATGTAGAAAATTAATTCTCAAGAAAAAGGCTTTTATTTTTCACTACATAATATGATTTTACAAAAGGAGATATATACAAGTGTTTTCAAGAGTTTGAGATAAGGTAGAGTTCTAAAGTTAGTGTCAAAGTAAAATATTGGTGTTTACATTAAATTATAACTCACAACTTGAATGTACAATAACCCTTTTTTTAACAAATATTTATAGCTGAGAAGAAAAAAACAGGTTTTAGTTAGTGTGGCTCTATATACCCTTGTACTATTGGGGTGGTTGCCTCTTACTCTTACTATGATTCATGCTCTTAATATGTATCCTTATCCAAATTCATTTTTTCCTTTTCCTTTCCTTACTATGAACCCCTAATTAAACTTAAAAGGTGATAAATGAATCGAACTTGAACAAATAGTTTTATGTTCATTTCTTTTTGTTAAAAATTAAATTATTTGTCAAAGCCACGCGATTAATTGTGTTAGCCTTGCCAATCCTCCTTGATGACATCCCTTGGATACGATCAGTCGGTGGTCTACCTTGGTCATTCGAAGAGCTTTTTCCATCATCTTCCTTCTGCACCTTTCTTTGGGCTCCTTCACCCTTGCTGCTTTCCCTGGGTGTGGGTTCAGACAACTCCATGTTAATTGGCTTGGCCCTTTCAAGCTCTGTAAATTTCTTGTCTATAACTATGGTTTCTAAAAGTCTTTGTGCATCATTGTACTCTTCGGCGAGCTTCATCCCTGGTCTAAATCCTTCAAAGAAGGTCTTGAGAGCGAAAAATGCATGTTGGAGGCAAAGTAACGAAGGCTGCTGGGTCAAACTTGATGGATTTCACAATATCAAAACATTTTTCACAGAGAAACAAAAATAGACAAAGTCAATGGTCAACACAATCACCCACCCTTTCTCTGCCGCAATGTTAGAACGCATTAACATTGGCAATACATTAAACGTCCTAATTCCTTATACGGTGATTGGACCTTCTAAAGGTCCGAATCCAATTTCCTTGTAAAATTTATAGGTCCAATTCTTCAATTAGTTCTTGTCTTATCTATAATTTATAGATTTAGAAATATGTATTCTAATCCGATTGGTTTTTGAGTTTTTAAAATTTTAATCTCAACTCAAATAGATAATTGTTAAATCTATTAAGTCGAAGTTAGTATTGATTTTTATTTTATGTATAAATTATAAATTTAATTTTTATTCTCTGGTTTAATAATTTTAAGTATTTTTAATTTAGTCATATTATTGAAGTGCCACTTGGATATAGATTATAATATTAAAACTAATTAAATTAAAGTATAAAGACTAAATTTATAATTTATAAATAGTATAGGGACTATTTATAAATAAGATCAAATTTATATGGTTATTTTGGGTAAAAAAGAAAATCAATCAATCAGAATTTTTTTCAACAGTACCCACCGCAATGCACAAGCCCCACCCGCCCCTTAAAAAACGCCTTACTCAACGGCATCTCTCCTCCCTTTCCTCAAATTCAAACACCACCGGCAATTCGATAAACATGGCGCACCGCCCCAACCAACGCCGCAGTTCGGCCGCACCGGAACCGAACTCATCTCCCCATCCCTTAGATATCACCTTGAAAAAGTCTCCCAAACAAACCATAACTACTCATCCTACAACCCAAACCTCAGATCCATTAATAGCTTCCGAGAAGCCATTTTTCATGTCCAATCACTTCTCTAGATTGAACCTCAATCACAAAACCCGCGCACCCTCAAAACCCACCGACATCCACCATAATAGAGACATTCGTTTACAAGCCAAAGCTTTGACGGTCTCAGCTGATGCCGATTCCTCCAAGTTTTCGCTTATCAAAGCGACCCACCGCCTAGCCCATGAGAAGGCCAAAGAATCTTTGAAAGATACGTTCAGGAAAGCATCGAAGGATTTGGGTGGAAAGAACCAACAACAACAAAGATCAGTGCTTGATAGCAAGAAATTATCTTTGACAACAGTGAAGGAGAAACAGTTGAAGATTCTACATGAAGGGCACGATGGTGATGTCGATATGAATAAGGCTTCAGCTTCATTGAGCAGGAGAAGATCCTTAAGCGACTCAAAAGTAGAGTTGAGTAGTGTTCTTGCAAATTGTGGTGTCATAATTGTTTCAGTTGATATGCCACCGTTTATGCAGATCCATGCGGTTGATTGTGCCCGGAAGACTCATGATAGCCTTGAAAAGTTCACTTCTAAGGCCCTTGCACTCACTCTCAAGAAGGTAATTCTTATTAATTTGATTAAAAAGAAAGAATTTTCCCCCTTTGATACTATTTGTTTATGAATTTTTGTTGTTCTTGTTGTTGATTCTATGAGCAATGATCTGGGGATTTTAGTTTACGAGTGACATAATTGAGCAACTTAGTTATGTGTATGCAAGAGTTTGATGGTGTGTATGGACCGGCATGGCATTGTATTGTGGGGACGAGTTTTGGGTCTTTTGTAACACATTCAGTTGGTGGGTTTCTCTATTTCTCAATGGATCAAAAGTTGTATGTTCTCTTGTTTAAGACAAGTGTACAATTTCAAAGCTAAAAAAGCATATCTAGTATAGCAAAACTTTTGGAATCATAAAGCAGTGTTCCCCCCCTCATTTGTAGCTTGTACATTGCTTTTCCATAAGAAGAACAAAGGAGTAGGATATTTAAGTCCCTTTTCAAGTGGTCTCACCCTGTATGAACACATTCTTCTTCTAAATGCAGTACCTTTGTATCTGGTTTAGAAAATACAGAATCATCGTTATGTTTGAGCAGTTGTTCATATTGTTTAATTTGATCTTACATTTTAGTTCATCACACTGATAGACAATGGAAGATGCTTTGATTTCAGCACCCTATAGAGTAGCTTAAACGTGGCAGACTGTGATTGGTCCCCGCACTAATAGGAGTCTTTCAAGCTAGAGAGGACCCCCCATGTTCCCTTCTGCAAAGCTCATCTTTTAGTGGTGATTCTGAGCATATGGTGTCATGTCCTGTGACTCGGCATTTAATTTTTTGACAAGTGGTGTCCCAGTATAGGGTCCATAACCAGAGGCAGATGGGGGTGTTCTTTGTTAAACTTGCAAGTTAGAAGTCTGCAAAAACATGTAAAAAGTTTGATGTTACCTACTAGTAAAACTTGTGTAGAGGATCGAGGATTACTTGTTTGAGTGTCGAAAGAACTGTGGTGATGAAGCACTTTTGACTGGCTCTGCCGAATAATTTAGTGAGGTGTTGGAGGACTGAGGCCAAGTGCTGCCTGCTCATTTCGATCGAGAAAATAGAGGGGAGGGGCTTCTCGGCAGCTTGTTGAGAATCGTCCCAAAGGCTGAATTCTCTCCGGCTCCACAAGCAAAAAAAAATAGACTAAACTATCTATTTAAACACCCAACTATTTTATTTTAAAATCTTAGTTAAAGTTATGTTTTAGTCACCCGCCGTTAAAGGTTATAATTGTTGACATGACATTATCTTATGGTGACACATTTATATCAGTGTTCATTATTCAACGACGGATGACTAAAATGGAATCAAAATATAATTTTATATATGATTTTGGAAGAAAAAATAATTAGATGATCAAAATAGAATTGCAAGAATAGTTGGACTACTAAATACGTAGTTTACCCAAAGAAATAACAAGAAATAGTTGTGCTTTTGTATGAAATCTGAGTACGAATCACATTACCAGAGGTGTTCGTCGACTGTATCGAAGGCCGGCTGAAATCTTGAGGGTCGAAGGCATAATTTTTTTATTAAAGACTTAAATTGAATTATTGCAAGCAGTATAATAGTAATTTAGTTTTAATTTTGTAAAGTAAATTATGACAAATATAATTTTTAATAAAATATTGCATTCCATCTACTATATAAGTGTGATGAAATCTAGTTTAAATATGATTGTTTTTATAATTTATCCACTCGTTTTTACTCTCAAATAAATTATTTTATCTTTTTTTCATTTTCAATTGTATTTTATAATATAATTATTCGTGGCATTATAATTATATTTTAGTTTCAGAAAATTTGAAAAATTATAGGATGAATAATTGAATGTAAAATCCAGAGAAAGTTCATTTTCTATGAAAAATGTAATTGGAGTTGTGGAAATGCAAGAATCTCAGATTTGTTTAACAGAAACCTAATTTAACAGTTTCAATAAAGTACGAAATTGAGAAAGGTGAAACTCTAATCTTTGAAAAAAGGGATTATTCAAAGGAAGGGACGCAATGCATAAATAGAAGGAAAACCGGTGGCTCGCAGGCGTAAATTCCAAAAGTTATCTGAGCTTACCTTCTAGTAGGAAGGGGAAAAGGCTGAGGTTTGAGGACCAAGTCCAATCTCCCCAAACCCTAACGATGACCTGATCGCCAAAATCCTCAGACCTCCAGCTTTGTTCTCGCCCGCTCGATCGAAACCCCCAGCATAAAATTATGTAGCTGCAAAAGAACACCGAAAAGCTCAATTGCTAAACGATGCCGTCTCACGGCGATCTAGACCGTCAGATCGAGCACTTAATGCAGTGCAAGCCGCTTCTGGAGGCGGAGATGAGGACTCTGTGCGAGCAGGCGCGTGCGATCCTCGTGGAGGAGTGGAATGTTAGCCGGTGAAGTGTCCCGTCACTGTCTGCGGCGATATCCACGGACAATTCCACGATCTCGTCGAGCTGTTTCGCATAGGCGGCAAAGCTCCCGATACTAATTATCTCTTTATGGGAGATTACGTGAGTTGGTCCACTTTTTATCGCATTTAATTGCCATCGAATACTTTTCATATGAAATAAATTGTTAGTATGAGCTTGGTTTTTAGATCATAATTATCATTTATTGAAAAAAAAGGAAATTTTAGGAAAGGAAATGTTATGCGCGTAAGCTTTAAATTTATTGCTAATTGAAACTTGATTTAGCTTGTCTGTACAAAGCAAAGTTGAACTATTGATAGGGGAGTTTTAGATAATAAACTTGTATTAAAAATCTAGCCATTTGAACTAGAACTGTTGATAAAATCAAGATAGGGCTGTTAGAGTAGAGATTTATTTTAAGAGTATTTCATATTGAACTGAACCTGAACATCTTTTATTTGCTTTCAACCAATCCAACCATTTAACGATAGATCAAAGAATTTGGATGTTTGGAATGTTGTTTGTTTCATAGTTTCGTCTGCTCAATTTGGTAACGTGAGCCACAAGTACAGAAAAAGATAAAATTGCATAAACTTCATGTTTTAAAAGAAATAACTACTCTGCCTTTAGGACAGAAATTTGTAGAAAGATAATGGAGAGTCTTGATACCGAGTATTATTCAGTCTAGTGTCTTTTCTGCACTGTTTGGTTTTCTCTGGCATCGTTTGTGCTGGCTCTGTTCTTGTCTAATGTTGCCATAAATCATTCATAACCATGTGTCTTTAGTATAGGTGCTTATACAGCTGATTATTTTTCCCTTGGTGTATGCTGATCGAGGATATTACTCTGTGGAGACTGTCACACTTTTAGTTGCTCTGAAAGTTCGTTATAGAGATAGATTAACTATTTTAAGGGGAAACCATGAGAGCCGCCAGATAACTCAAGTGTGAGATATTCATATTTATTGTTTTTTCTCCTTTTCATTCTGTAATGCACTTGCAGTCTATTTTTTTCATTGAACAAATAAATTTCTGCACCCTGGAGCGAAGTACTCTTGATTGTTCTTTGGATACTAACACTTTTCTTAAGTTTTCTTCTTTTATGTTGCTATGACAGACTAATGTTTCTCGTAAGAAAGTTGGAAAAATGGAGTATGGATACTTGATAAACCAGTAATAGGTATTTGGTTCATGATATCCTAATATCAAGGAGTGGAAGTTATTTAGTGATATCGCTGGATCAGTATGTAATCAGCTGCTTCTCTTTTCAGATATGGCTTCTATGACGAATGCTTGAGAAAATATGGAAATGCTAATGTATGGAAGTATTTCGCGGACCTATTTGATTATTTACCTCTGACTGCACTGATTGAAAGTCAGGTTTGAATTCTTATACCCAGTCTTGAGTATTTCCAAGATCTTAGCTGATAACATTTGTGTTCCTTGCAGATTTTCTGCTTACATGGTGGACTCTCTCCATCTTTGGATGCATTAGATAACATCAGTTCTCTTGACCGTATTCAAGAGGTAAAACTGCAGTCTGCAGTTCCACTATCCATTGCACTTGAAAGTTAAATAGTCTGAGGAGATGGCCTTGTTACAAATAATAGTATCTGCCAAATAGAAAACCTTTTCAAAACTTAGTAGAGCATATAAACTATAAAGTATAAAGTACTTCGTGGAGTATCCACATGTGGAGTTTGTAATGGGTATTACTTTCTGAAAATAAGAGGTAGGTTGGAGTAAAACTTATTGATTTTCCCGACTCACTAACTGAAGATACCATGACTCATAAAACGAGATCGGCCCTACGAATGCAGCAATACTGGTAATGGTGTCCACTTCTATCCAGGGAGATCATTATATCATCTATCAGTTAGCATTATTGTCAGTTTGTCACTGTTTTTTTAGAAGCCTAACTGGGGTCATCACATCAAATATGCCTTCCTCTGTATTACTGTATTTTAAATTTTACTAGCATCTTTGTATTTGTTGGTTGTGTAGGTTCTGCACGAGGGTCCAATGTGTGATCTCTTATGATCTGAGCCCGACGACTGATGTGGGTGGGGAATATCTCCTCGAGGAGCAGGGTATAACTTTGGGCAGGATATTTCTGGGCAGTTCAACCACACATGAGCTCACCCTGATATCTAGAGCTCACCAGCTTGTTATGGAAGGATATAATTGGTCCCAGGTTTGTGGAACCCCAATAAAAAAAGAAACAATTTTTGTGTAATCTATTCTCTCTGATTGCTATTTATTATACTAATCTATGTATTATTGTAGGTCAAGAATGTGGTAACAGTGTTCAGTGCCCCAAATTACTGCTATCGCTGTGGAAATATGGCTGCTATACTGGAGATTGGAGGGAATATGGAGCAAAGTTTTCTTCAGTTTGACCCAGCTCCACGTCAGATTGAGCCTGAGACTGCACGGAGAACACCCGACTATTTTTTGTAATTTCCTTAACTTCTCCAACTGAAAAATGTTAATATTTCCTGCTGTGTTTATGTAGATGTGTCTTACAAAGTAGTTATCGTATCTTGTTTGAAAGGGACAAAAGAAACCATTGTTTTTTGTCATTCTTTTGGTTGCTCGAATGTGCATTCATTCGAGTCTAATAGGGTTAATTGGTAGAAGGATTTTTGTCTTTGTGTTCTGAAAGGTGAAGTGAATAACAAGGGATTTTTAGTACCATTTTCTCGAGAACTTCTCTGAAAAAGATCCCGGGTGGTTTTTTTGATACTACGGCTAAACTACTCATAATTCCTCCTAACACTGGAAATTGTGCACGTAAAAAGGGTTGAACTCATATCACCCAGGTTGTTACTATTATTCAAGGTGGCTGTAAGAATTTTGCAAGTAATGTTTTGGATATTGGAAAATTCATTGTTAAGCCAAAGTTGTGACCATGTAATGAATTAATCATCCTAGAGAAACCACCAAATCTATGTACCTCCATAACTTAAATGCCTTTCTCATGAACAATCATGTTATTTAGTATTTTACATTAGAGCATTTAAAACAATTAAAAGTTTAATTCCTTGAACAACAAAACCAAAACAATTACAATCCTTGAAGTATTACAACCTCAATTATCCTTTGATTATTCCTTTAAATAACAAATCTCCTCCAAAATGTAAAATTTTACTCAAATCATGCTGAGCACTAAATTTCAAACTCCTTTGAATCCAATTCTTCAATCTACTTCCTAAAATGCAAAACATAAATCAAGATCCAATGCTTAAGCATTTTAACCATTCAGCAGAAGGATGAACACTACAATTCGTATAGTAATTATGCAATATATCAATGGTTGAATAATGGGAGAGTGATGTGAGCCAACCCTAGTAGACTTTAGAGGCAAAATTGTCTACAAACCATAAACCCAGGATAGTAGGCCGACGGACCCTAGATAAGGATCTCTAAACCTCAAAACTGAGCATTAAAACCTTGAAGCTCTTGAGCCTAAGAGTGCAAGATCAAAAGGCCTTCGGACCTGAAACTTTGAACCCTTGGATATTGGACAACTGAACCAAAACACAAAACCCACAAATCTCAGATTATCAAAATAAAGGACACCTAAATCAGACCCTATAAAAGAAAAACTCAGGAAGTCTTAGACAGCCTGAACTTTAAACTAAAGAGCTCAAATCCAAGAATCCATAAATCAAATTCGCCAATATGGTATATTGGCCATAGTACCTGGGATCTCGAAACCTAAGATTCAAACCGTAAACCAAACTTATTCATTGATCAATTGTAGCGAACCTTAAACCCAACCCCAAAATCCCAAATTCGGTCCAACCTTAGCCTAATTCCCAAGCTTGAAGCACTAGACCTAAATAAAAAAATTTGTAGAGTTTATCCAATGCAGTCTCGTTTTGGTAAATAAAAAAAAAAGATCTGAAGAGCGAAGTTTAGGTAGGCGAGGATAAAAGAGGAAAGGGTAGAGAGAAAAAAGTTAGGATGTGTTACAAACCAATGTAACCATTAGTTCTTGTATATATGTAAATATGTTATTATGATGTAAAAATCACAACTTTATTGATTCTTACTACATTATCTCTGTGCCCACAGGATCAACAGAAAAATGAATGGCTAATGTTTTCTTGGTTATTGATTGAAGTTTAGATTCCCACACCTGTTTTCAAAAAATACAAGATGTTATCAGTATAAATGAAAATAGGAATAGACTACCAAGAGAGGAAGGTTGCGTTTGGTTTCAGAAAACAAAGACCATTTTTGCTTTCGTTTTCTTAGAAAATGGAAAACAAGGAAGAAAACATGTTTGGTTGGAATTTTAAAAAAGATTTTTGGAAATTGAAACATGTTTGAGGGCAAAAAAATGTCATTAGACTATTATACTAGTTAAAACTTGAAACCACACCAAGATAGTCACAAGTGATGCATCATATTAGAATTTTGAAATCCACAGCATAAGGTTTCTTACGTCTTTGTATCTTGAGCTGCTAAAAAATATCTCCAAGGCATCAACTGCAAGCATATTGGTAAATAGCAATCAAATGCAGAAAAGTGTTAAATAATTGAATACTGAATCAACATGAAAAGGGACAAACATGATCGAAATCTTATCACCACTCCATGTGTATATTCCCCTCTCGAATTGCTATTGAAGTTTGAGCCTGCAACATTATAAATGAAAATAGTTCGATCAATATCAAATCATCTTGTGTTAAAGAAATTTTAAAATAATCAGACATAATGTAAAAAGTAAAGACCTTATATGTAAATATCTCTATTAATGTTAAACCCCTGAATGAGTTGGTGTCATGTCTTAACCAGCTACCAACTCAGTTGGAAATAGAATGAAAAACCATTTTAAGGTAATAAATTTATTATTCGATCAGATAAAGACTTAAAAACCATTTTTTAAATTATAATAAGTATTATCATAAGAGTGTTTCATACTTGAATTAAACAAGTAAAAACCACTACTAAAAATTTAAGCACTCAAGGATAAACATGTAATTAATAAAAATTATAGAAATCTTATACCACTCCACATGTATTTTTTTTGTTGAATAAATTAATTATGCACAGATAACTAATCAGATTTTACCATGTATTATTATTTTTTTCTTTAACTAAATTAAACTAAAGATTTTTTATAGATATTAGGGTAAACTAACTATTTACTCACCAAACTATTAAAACTTTTATTTTAGTCACTGTCTTTATCATTTTATTCTGTTTTTTTGGTCACTGGTCGTTAAAATGATAACATAAATGAATGTGTGTTATGTTATAAGGTAAACTAACTATTTACTCACCAAAAAAATAATAATGCATCATAAAATCTGATTAGAAAGCTTAACTCAATCATGGCAAGGTTTATTTGGGGGGGGGGGGACGGGCGGGAGAAAAATCGCATCCATTGGATCAAGTGGTCAATTGTTTGTCAACCAAAGGGGAGTGGAGATTTGGGTGTTATAGACCTCAATCTAATGAATCAAGCCTTACTTGGGAAATGGGCCAGGAAGTTTGGTAATGAAAAGGATTCGTGGTGGAACAGGTTGCTGTGCAGCAGGTATAATTTAGACATAAGGTCAATGGCAGTCAATAATCTTCAATTTCCACAAGCCTCATGGGTTTGTAGGGGAGTGCACAACAATTGTGTGAAAGATGAAAAATTTGGGGAGTGTTATCGCAACCATTTTCAAGTGCGAAATGGGGAGATTGTTTTATTTTGGCAAGATATTTGGCTGTGCAGTGTTTCCTTGAAGACAAATTTCCAAGGTTATTCACTCTATCAATCAACAAAGAAGGAAGAGTGGTTGAATTCGAAAACTATGGCTCTTCAGGTTGGATTTGGTACATCCAATTGAGAAGAAATCTATGTGACTGGGAACTGGATCAATGGGTAGAATTGAAGTCTATGCTTAGCAATTTAAATCCTAATGCAGCTGAGGAAGATTGTTTGCTATGGACCGGGAACAGGGAAGGTATATACAAGGTAAAGTTATGCGTGAAGCTAATGACACGCAAGGTAAGAGAAGATCACAGCTGGAATAATTATGTTCTGTTGGGGCTTGCTACACCTGAGGGTTTCTTCAAGTTAGATGTTGACGGAGCAGTGAACAGGAATTGGAAGGCAATTGGGGGCTTACTTAGGGACACTTCCAAAAGTATTTTGGTTTCTTTTTCAGAACCTACGGGACCTGGTCCTCCGGCTTTAACAGAATTGAAGGCAATCAGATCTGGGTTATTGTTTTTCTTATAATCAGAATGGGGGTCAAAGGGCCTTTTAATCCTAGAAAGTGACCGCAGAAACACTTTAGAATGGTTAAAAAATCCTGCTTCATGTCCCTCTTGTTATGAGTCCATTTTTAGGGAGATCAGGTCTTATGCAATGTCTGAGGTGTTACTTCACCTTATTCAAAGAAGTGCCAATTGGAAGGCGGATGAGTTGGCAAAAAGAGGGATTGGCCGAAGTTAGGAATTTCTGGGTCTAGTTTAGGTTGTTTGCTCATTGTAATGGGGTGTCTATTTTGATCAGGTTGTACTGTTGTGGGTTCTTTTAAACCATTTTCTCAATAATACTTGAAGTACTCTTTCCTTCCTTTCGCAGTTTGTCGGTCTCCCTCATGGTAGATTGACAATTAAGAAGGAAGTTTTTAATGAGACCTCCTATTTTTATCAAAAAAATATTTAGTCATTAAAATTCTGTCAATTTCACCCAATTTATAAATAATTCAACAAATTTAACCTTCTATATGTACAAATTCTATCAATTTGGTCCTAATTCAACAAAGATAGGGTGACTAAATAGATAGTTGACCCTAGATATTATAATTGTAGCAAGTTTTTCAAAAAAACATATCAATCACAAACATCTCCAAAATCTTATAGAGCAAATTCTTAGTTTCAAAATAAATCTAATTCAAGACCAATTTTCAAAAGGACTTTTGAAGTAGATTTTATCTATTCAAGGTTAAGTCAGGAAGAACTTTGGATCCAAACTTTCTCTTCAATCTTGCTTCATCAACATAAAAGAGGTCAATTATGTTTATCTTTTCTTGATCAAGTCTAAAAGACTATTAAAGTAACTAACAATCATGTTGGATCAGAACTTTACTGATGAAAATAATTAAAGAATTTATTTTATTCTAAAAAACTTTCAAAGATTGTAACTTTGATAAATCAAAATAGTATGTGTCTGAGTTTTTTAAATCATATTTACAACATGAAATTTGTGTGAATAAATCTGTATTGCTAAGAAATTAAACATAACAAGTAACTACCAATTATCATATGATCACATGATGTGAAAAATGGCTTGATAGGTGCAGGCATGCAGCAAGGATAAGATATAGATCTAATGTATAACTGTATGACATCCTGAGGAAGCTTTCCAATTTAAAAGGTCAAATACCAGGGACGATCATTAGGCAGCATGGTGAATTAAAATTTTTCTTTTCATTGCATGTACCTTGAGTGCATTGGAGAACTAAGGATGGATGTTCAATAGTTAGCTCTTGAAGAGACAGTAATGCATCTTTCGCAGGTCCACCAATGGCAGCCTCAACAAATGCAATCAGAAGCACAAATTCTACACCATAGCTGTACTCCTGTCACCAAAAGCATACTAATCTATTGAAACCAAGCTCTGATGTCAATGGAAATGAAAGGGTATGTTGCATCTAACCTCTCCTTTACGAAATATATGAAGCATATCGTCTTCCACTTCAGATTCATAATCCACATTTATTAGCCCCTACAAATATATATAAAGAAAGATTTGAACTCTATTAATAAAACCTTTTTTGCCAAGTATTAACAGATCTGTTTCAGTTATATATGCATTTTTGCTCAGATTATTGCGTAATGAACAGAGGAAAAAGTAATTTAAAGCAATTGAGTTTGGTGTTTACATGTCAGGGCATACATGACAGTAAGGCAGTACATGCTCCTTCATAAGTTGCAGGTAGAGAGGGTTCTCATAGAACTTTTCTAGGACTTCCTTGCTTTGGAATCGCATGAAGACAGCATGAGTATAATCTTCTTTAGCTTGAGCAGATATTTGACCTAATGAATTAGAACATATATAAGCCGGTTTATCTTATGAAGAAGAACATAATGAGATGAATTTATCATTTTTATGTGCATATATCATCAGTAAACCCACATTCAGTTTGGTGCTTTTATAGATTATAGTCTCATGTTTCATCCTTGAGGAAATCTTAAGCCTATATCAAATATCAGATAGGGATATATGTACAGTCACATAATTAGCAAAAACAAAAATTATATGAATCACATGTGAGGGAACTTTGATTCCAGTTGTACTTGATCAAGCAAAAAACTCTGCCCAAGAAGCATGGTGTATTAGTCTACCTCTTATACATCCTAACCACAATTTAATATAACAAATTCTACCCGGATTTTCGCTGTAAATTTGTATTAGTCCATCCTTGTAACTTATATTAAATTACTATCACGGAAAAGGGCATTCAGAGGAAACTGTTTACAGCCAAATAGAAAGTGTTCAAACCCAAAGATATTGCAACAATTCCACGCATCTGATATTGAGATGTGTAAAGATAATCCAACATATCCTTCTCCTCCTCATCAGATAAACCCTTGTTTGCTTTGAGTAGACATATGTGGTCCACCACCTTCCTGAAACAAATAGTTAAGCATGCAAGCTGCAATAACCAAATTGTGGATGCTTAAACAAAGCGGGAAATTAACTGGGCTACCAATGTAAAAAGAAGGATTAAGTGAAACAAAATACGAAGGCTGTCAAATGCTTAAGAGTAGGGCCCATTCCAGAGAGAGAGAAAACCCCAAAAATTATCAACATCATAACAGTTCGAATTGAGTTTGCATTTGAGCCTAAACAATGCATGAATACAAATCATCATATCGATAAGAATTCAAAAACAGCCTAATCGAAGAAACATGACATTCGGCATTCATAAACTGAAGAGGAAAATATCAAAAGAGAAAAGAACCTTCTGTGAAGGAGGTTTCTCTCCCTCTGCCCATTACCATTAGCACAAGAAAATACATTGAACTGTTTCCTCCCCGTTGTTCCAATTCCATGTCGACCATAAACTTGGGAAATTTATTGGGGAAAAAAAGCAATTACTTGTTAGCTTAAAAGACAAAATGGACATGTTCATATCGATAAGTTCAAAAAGACTCACAATTAGAAGAAAGTGCAGCGTAAACAGGGAAAGAGCGGAAGGCAAGGGCTTGAGGCATTGGCTGAGAAAGAGGTAGAACCACCATTTTTACTTCCCTCTCTCAGTTTTGAAAGTCAAGTTCTATGTGCGTTTTAAGCGTTCCGTGTTATTCATCTGATATGTGGAGACTTGTGGCATGGATATCAAGAAATGTGTGGATCACTGCCCTTTGATATGTTGAGGTTCTCCTTCTCCCTATTTTATGTCCTTCATTTGTTTATTGTGTTTACTATAAAAATAAGTGTTTAAATTGTATTTAAAATTGATTTCTAGGTACGAATCGAGTAATTTCAATATTAAATGAATTGTTGATATTCTTTGAGTTCTTAAGTTCGAATATTAAGAATGTCAGTGATGTGGACATTTAATGACAAATGATTTTGAATATATACGACCTTATACTTGCTTCAAATTAATAAAAAAAAAACTGATTTTTGTTTTTTTTTTGGTTAAAAATATGGTTCTAATATTTTTCCATTACACTTTTAGTTGTCTATCGTTGAAAAACCGTTAAGTAACACGTGATATGTACAGATTTTTCAAAAAATATATTTTTAATAATATTTTATTTTAAAATCATAAAAAAATATAAATGTGACAACATGTCACCTAACGTTTTTCTAATGATAAGCACCTAAAAATATAACGGAAAAAACATTATACACTTATTTTTAACAAAAAAAAAATTATTTAAGCATAAAAAATCAATTAATAATTTAAGCATTTTTTCCGAGACTTTATTATTTAATCTGGTACTAATATTTTCTCATTTTTAAAATAAAAATTAGTTAAAAATATCGTTTAAATTATTGTTTTAGTTTTAAGTCTTAAAAAGAAGAGACAAGCGCTTAAAATTTTATTTTTTAAGGTTAAACCATTAATGTCTACTAAAAACATGTCATTTAATAAATTTTCGACTTTTTAAAATTTTAAAATTTTATAATTTTTTAAATTTTCTAAAATCATTTTATTATCATCTTCCAATCAACCACCATTTTCTATTTTTTTCCCATCAAATTTTATTTACAATTATTCTATTCTTTTAAAAAATATTAATGCTTTAAACTTGGAATTGTAACAAGATGAAATATTAAACATTTAACGCCACTAAAAAGAACTCAAAACACCTATAATAAAAGAAGCATATAATTTCAACATTTACTTTTAAGTTAAGATTGATTTAAGGGTAAAGTATAGTAATGGTCATTGAACTTTTCTAAAGCTTTCATTTAGGTCCCCCAACTTTTAAAACTTGCAATAAAATCCCCCAACATTTAGTTTGTTTGCAAACAGACTAAATGTTAGGGGATTGTATTGCAAGTTTTAAAAGTTAGAGGACCTAAATGAAAGCTTCAAAAAAGTTAAGTGACCATTACTATACTTTACCCTTGATTTAATTAAACATTGTATTAGTTCTTTTGATTTTTAAAGTGTGCCTAGCTGAGTGGAGGACATCTCATACCTCTCAGCACGAGGCATTATCATTGAAGGCATTAGTAGAAGCTGATATTATTTTTTTTCACCATCAACTGCCTTAGCATCTACTTCTTCTACCATCCAATTGATCCCATCGTTTCATATTTCACAGAAATTTGCTAATAAGATTTTATTATTATATTAATTGTTAAATAACTTCCTCAAAATTGTTAATTTTGTAGGGTTAAGTATAGTAATGGTCATTGGACTTTTTTAAAACTTGCATTTAGGTCCTCCAACTTTTAAAACTTACAATACGGTCCTCCAATATTTAGTCCGTTTGTAATATGGTCCCCGAGATAACCGTCCGTTTGACGTCGTTAGGCTGCCGTTAGAAGAAGATAACGTGGTAGTCCTTCAACATTTAGTCCGTTTGCAATATGGTCACTGAACTTTTCAAGAGCTTGCATTTAGGTCTCATAACTTTTAAAACTTGCAACACAATCCTCAATTTCATTCTAAACCCCAAATTCATTTTCAATCTCGATTTTCCTTTTTCGCTTCTCTCTTTTCATTTCCAGTGCAACTTCTCAATCGGGGATGCATGGGAAATTCTAATCTAACTTTGAATTATGAGGAGGTGTTGACTTGAGTAAGGGTCCATTGAGAGAAGACCCGACCAAGGGACTATCGGGACCATCAACGATTCAAGGTGCAATGTTAGATACAGGTAACGGCAGTGTAACGACGTCAAAAGACCGATTACGTTGGGACCATATTGCAAACATACTAAATGTTAGAGGATTGTATTGCAAGTTTTAAAAGTTAGGAGACCTAAATGCAAGCGTTAGAAAAGTTTGGTGACCATTACTATACTTTACCCTTTTTTATTAAACCTCTATTTTTTTACATTTTTCAAATAAACACATGTATAATTTTTTTAAAATCTTATTAAAATTCTTAAAATTTTAAAAGTTTTGACCAGACTTCTAAAAAATTTGACTAGGCCTCCTCAAACTATAGCTCCAAAAATCCGCGACTGTCTTTAATGCTTCACCATGGTTAGATACATTTGGTTTTACCATTTTAGACTTGAGTTTAAACAATCATATTTGACTGTTCATATGGGGTTAATGCTCATTTTGACCCTTGAACTATACTCATTTATCATTTCAGTATATAAATTTGTTTTGTTTAACTTTAGTACATAAGCTATCAATTTTCTCATTCTAAAAAAAAAATGACAATGAATACTCATACACTCATTCGAACCTATAATCTTAAGGGATAATAATCATCCCTTTAACTATTGAAGTCACTTGATCCGTACATCTCACTTAAAAATTATATCCAGTGAAATTGTAAGAAGGGAAAATAAAGGGCATGGTATACCAAAGTTCCATGAATAGTCATGTTGATCACTAATTTTTCAAAAGTTACAAAATAATTGTTAAACTTATCAAATTATTGTAAAATAATCATTAAATTTTATTAAAATACTACAAAATGGTTATTCATTTTTTATCAAACGTTACAATAATGATTAAATTTATTGATTTTTTACACTTATTATAATATTGTGGTGACCATTTAGTAATATTTTGATAAATGCGATGACCATTTTGTAGTGACTTCTAGTGTACTTGCCTCAAATTAAAATAGCAGCGCGACGAAACGAGAACAGAACCGGGAGCGGGGAAATGAATGAGATAAAAAGACAGTTCTTATTTGCGGATCTGAGACTGATATTGACTCCTGTTTTTTGTTGTGCGTCCGTGCTTCTCTCCCCTGCTCTCTACGCCCCAATTCGCATAGCTGCGGGTTCAGCCTTTCCTACCAGATCTATTGTTTTGTTGTAGCTAATCGATCCGTTGGCTTTAGGTATTCTTCCCCCCTCTCTCATTTGCCAGAGCACCGTGTTTTTGCTTCAGATCTGCAGAATTGACACTGCATTTTGGCTGATTCATGCTTTTGATGATTAATTTCTCTTTGTAAAAATGCAGAATCTGGTGTAATGGATGGCAATGTTGCTAGCAATGGCAACGGGAGCGGTGGATATCGCTTTCGGAGAATACCTCGACATTCGCTAGCTCATCTCAAGCTGGATCCCTTGGTCACTCATTCTCTCTTCGTCTCTTACATATTGCATTTATTTATATATACATTTAGTTTTGTACTTACCTGAACAAATTACTCAGAACTAGGAAGATAAAAACAATGTTTCTTATTTATTAAATAGTAACATTAAGTGTAAACCCTCATACAGGCATACTGTCTGTTAGATTAGATAGTGTAAATTATATTTATGTTATGCGTATTAAAAGAGGTGATTTTCTTGTGCTGTTTTCTTGCACTCAGCTTGATGACAATTTGGAGCAGTGGCCGCATCTAACTGAACTCATTCAGTGCTATAGAAGCGATTGGATTAAAGATGATAACAAATATGGCCACTACGAAAGCATCAATCCTGATTCATTCCAGAATCAGATTTTTGAAGGGCCAGATACTGATATTGAGACTGGTGAGATTCTAGTTAGCAGGTGCTTTTTCTTGAAGAAATATTCATATACTAATTTGCATCTTATTTGCTCTGGATTTGCTATATTTTTGCAGAAATGCAGCTTGCCAGTGCTAGACAAATTAAGGCTGAAGATGCTACTGATGATGACTTGCCAAGTTCCCCAGGAAGGCAATCTCCCAACGCTAATGCTACAAGGGTTGATCTGCTTGAACATTTTCTTACTATTTTCTTCTCTCCTACTTTGTTAGCTCATGCAGGCTCTTTTATTTCCTTCAGTGGTAATTTTCTTTCAAAATTGTGATATGTTTGTAGCATCTTGGTCAGTCTCCCCTCCCAGCTTACGAACCCGCTTTTGACTGGGGAAATGAAAGGTCAATGATATTTGGCCAAAGGATCCCAGAAACCCCTACCACACACTATGGAAGGTTCGAATCTTATTGCCACCATAAGAATTTTTACTCGGGAATTATTGGTTTCCTTAGATTAATTTCTCATTGAATAACCCATTCTCTCTTGGGATGGTTGACCCTAGTGGATTGAAGATCTCTGTCAAAGTTCTATCCCTTTCCTTTCAAGCTGGAATTGTTGGTTAGATTTCCATCCCAATATTTGAAGGATTCGTTATCATGTTGTTACTTTACTTTCATTTTTTTATGGTTTCCTGGTTTCTGGCTTAGATAACTCTCTTTTTCTCACAGAGCCATTCTATGGAACCATTTGCATATATAATAGGGAGAGAAGAGAAAAATTATCAGAAGATTTTTATTTTTCTGTGCTACCAAGTGAAATGCAGGATGTAAGCAATGATGACATTTATGCCCTTTTTTTATCTAGTAATGAGACCATTCTCAATAAAAGATGACTGAAAATTTTTCCTTTTTGTTGCACTTTTGACAGGCTAAAGTGACTTTGGAACCTCGTGGAATATTCTACTTAGATGCTCCTTCAGCATCAGTCTGTTTGCTAATCCAGTTAGAGAAACCTGCAACAGAAGAAGGCGGTGTAACCCCTTCAGTTTATTCACGTAAAGAACCGGTATTTGCATGGACACCTGTCCCTCTGCCTTCCTTTTATTTTAGCTTCCGGAATTCAAGATTTTATTTCTTTACTTTTTTCTATGCGTTATCAGGAATGCTTTTAACCCTCCTTATCACTTCCTCATTTTGGACTAGATTCTTTTGACCTGAAGAAATCAATGTCTTTACATGTGTTATATGAGTTTCTCTGTGCTTTCTTGGTGCTTGATCTAAGTTTGTAGTCTGTTTGGCTCAGTTGATGGTTTAACAGAAGTGGTATATGAGTACAGCTGTTCTAGAAGTGCTATGGAGGAAAGTGGAAATAGTATTTGGAAAACTTGAGTTAGAACCATTATAGGCTTTAGAAAGCTGTTATGCAATAATTCTGGAAGTCATACTGTAAACGGGGAAAACAAAGTCTTCATTAAAGTTTAAATTTTAGCATCCATCTTATGTTTAAAGTTTACTAAAAATGATGGCTCAATTTGTAATGGTGAAAGTTGACATGACATGAGCTTCCTGTGTTAGTTTTCTCATAGTACCAGTCTCCTTCATTGTTCTTCTATCGGAGAGGGTCTTTCAAAATGCCGCGCCAAATACCTGCTTATTCTAAAGAGAATGAATTGATTCAGTTATAGAACACACTTCTAAAATGGGCTTCATCTGAGGAAATAAATCTGGCTTTTTAGTTTTTATACTGAATGGTGCACGTAGATTAGTCGTTTGGCCGCATGCTATGTTATAGTAAAAAGGAAGCTTATTGATTGTTCTCGTTGCACAAAGAGCAAAAAAGAACCCACATCATTTGCAGTTGAAAGGTTATCAGCTCGATTGCCTTGAAAGAAATACTAATAATCTTTGTCTTTGTGGAGAGTAGAGGTGTAGTTGTTAGGCATATTTTGAGAGCTGCTAATTGGGAAGCGGATAAATTAGCTAAAGAAGGAATAGGTTGAATTTTAGGGTATTGACTCGGTTGTATGACTATTGAGTTGGTTATTTATGTTCTTTGTTTGGCTTTTAAGTCTTATGTTGTAACAGAACCTCTGAGGAGTTGGCTTTGTATTATTCTGGTATTAATGAATTATTAGGCACGCTTTTCCTCCTTCCTATGTCCTTCATGTTATTGTTGTAACATGGAGGTTAAGAAGGGGGTTTTTAACGAGGAGGCCTATCCTATTTCTATCAAAAAAAAAAATAATCTTTGTCTAGGGTTTAAATTATGGGAGAAAAAGGTGCATTATCTGCACTAAGAGAACTTGGGATTGCTTAAATTGAACACTTATATTTCATGTTTTCTCTTCCTCTGTTCAAACAGGTGCACTTAACTGAGAGAGAGAGGCAGAAGCTGCAGGTGTGGTCCCGTATAATGCCTTACAGAGAGTCTTTCTCCTGGGCCATTGTTCCTTTATTTGATAACAGCATCACTGCAGCTTCTGGTGGATCTGCTTCTCCTAGTAGCCCTCTTGCTCCCAGCATGTCTGGTTCTAGTTATCATGAGGGTGCCTTTGAGTCCATTGCTAAGGTCACATCAGATGGGAAGCTGGGTTGCTCAAGCAGTAGTTCTGTTATTGTTGAAATATCTAATCTGAAAAAAGTAAAAGAAAGCTATACCGAAGAGTCACTTCAGGTATTGTTTAGTTGCTTTTATGCGTTTTGTTCTGAATAAATTGGGTAGTTTTTTAATGGAAAGGGTTTAGGGTAGTTTGTTAAGAATATAATTTTCTTTTGGGAAGCATATTTTCTTCATAAGATATTGTCCTTCAACAAGGAATTTTTTTTAAAACAAATTGTGCCTAACGGAAGGTTTTGAAGATACTCATTTATACCACTATGCCTCTTGGCCTGTCCATGCAAGCTACCTAACAGGCCCTATTATTCCTTTTGCTCCACATTAACCATCCCAAGAATGGTGGGGCTGCTCTCTAGACAGTTAGATGACTCAAAAAAATTGAAGTCCTTTATGCTTGTTTTGCCATGGGTAATCTCAAGGTTTTTTAAGCATATCACAACTGTATATTGCTGGTCAATCAAGTGGGCTGTTTCTCTAATTTGCCAATGACAATTGTGCTCACTTCAATTTTAGGGCCTTTGTGATGCATGAGCTATTATTTATATATTGGTATTTCTACAATCATATCCATAGCATCTATAACCTGTTCATTAGTCGATTAATCCTTGTATTCTGTCAAAATTTGTCTAGATATTATGTTATTCTATATCTTCTATGTACATAATTATCTTCTAATTCTGTTTCTTTTCCATCTCTTCTTATATGATAGGATCCTAAACGGAAGGCACATAAACCTGTAAAAGGTGTTTTGAAATTGGAAATTGAGAAGCACCAGACTGCTCTTGCTGAGATGGATAACATATCAGAAGGTGGCAGTGTAACAAATGATTCCTTGGATGCCGGGGACCCTATTGCTGATATAATGTTTTCGAAGAGTCCTGGAAACAGTTTGGATGGACCTCAGACTAGCAACTCCAAGTGGATTGCACTTGATGGGAAAGATGTTTCTGGAAACGGTTCTAATACCCATGGAAATCTTGATATCTGTGCAGACGATGTAAGCAGTTAACCTTTATCTTTGCTTTTATTCTTTGGGTTTCATTTGCATACCAGCTAACCGTTACATCTTTAACAGCTTATAGGAAGATATTGATGAACCTTACTTCTTATCATTGAGAATATGATTGCTCTATTTGTCATCTTTAACAGCTCATAGGAAGATATTAGTCTATGTTTTGTTCATTATTTTTTCATATTCTGTAATACTACTAAGTGCAGGGTCTGCTTTTAGGTTATTTTGGATAAATTTTAGTGTGATATCGGTAATCCTTACTGTCCCTTGTGGATCTTATTGCTATCTTGCAAACTAAATGCTCCTTGTAATGTTATTTTTTGCTATTTAGGTCCTTATTTGTGCATTTGAGAATCTCATCTTTAGGACTGGTATATCATGACTCATTTTATTTTATATCTGTTATTGCTATTTGTGTAGAACTCATTTAATCTAAATTACTATTGTAATTCTTCTGACAGTTCCAAGCTTTTGACTTCCGGACAACAATGAGAAATGAGCCATTCTTGCAGCTTTTTCATTGTCTATATGTGTATCCCTTAACTGTGAATTTAAGCCGGAAAAAGAATCTGTTCATACAAGTGGAGCTAAGAAAGGATGATACTGATGCTCGTAGGCAGCCCTTAGAGGTAAATGTGTTGATTGATATTTAGCATACAGTTCTCTATATTTATCTTACTTGTTTATTTGGTTTAACTAATACAACCAGGCAATGCATCCAAGGGAGCGTGGTTCATTGCTGCAGAAATATGCTCACACACAAGTCGCTGTTGGTGCTAGAGTTGCCTGCTATCATGATGAGATAAAAGTTTCACTTCCTGCCGTCTGGACACCATCTCATCACCTGTTATTTACTTTCTTCCATGTTGATCTTCAAACTAAACTTGAAGCTCCAAAACCAGTAAGTTCTACATGAATTTATGTTTGGGAAGTAATGATAGCTTGGACTTCATTTTTATTTTAGTGTTGAATTGTACTTTTCCCTCTTAAAATTCTATATTAAAAGGAGCTATTATTGAGCTTTCAGTTCCTTCCCTTTCTTTTTTTTTTTGTATGAAGTTTGTGGGAAGAGTCATTCAATTTGTTCATTTGGCAGGTAGTTATCGGATATGCATCACTTCCATTATCCACCTATGCCCAGTATGTATATGCTCGATTTCAGCTTCTTTTTTTAAAAAGTTCTCTTGAAATCGGAAATGAGAAATCTATTAAAATCATGGTAATCAGCCGTGAAATGGGATCACTACTTAGTTTTCTGGTTTTTAGTTTAGTATTAAATGTTTGGTATTGTTATTTTTTGGGTCATTAATCAACCATTATCATTTATTTTGGATAAAGAACGACTGCTTCACCTTTTGTGAAAAATCAAATGGTTTAT